TCTGTTAAGTTTCTGTCTGGTTGACCTGTCCATTGGTGAGAGAGGAGTGTTGAAATCTCCTACTATCAGTGTGTGGGGTTTGATGTGTGATTTAAGTTTTAGTAATATTTCTTTTACATATGTAGTTGCTCTTATATTAGGGGCATAGATATTCAGGATTGAGACTTCATCTTGATGAATTGTTCCTGTTATGAGTATGAAGTGTCCTTATCCATCTCTTCTGATTGATTTTAGTTTGAAATCAATTTTGTTAGGTATTAGGATAGACATACCCACTTGTTTCTTAGGTCCATTTGATGGGAAAACCTTTTCCCAACCCTTTACTTTGAAGTAGTGCCTGTCTTTGAGGTTGAGGTGTGTTTCTTGTAAACAGAAGAGTGCTGAATCCTGTTTTTGTATCCATTCTTTTTACCTGTGCCTTTTTATAGGTGAATTGAGTTCATTGATATTAATGACTAGTTGTTGTTAACTCTGGTTATTTTTGATGGTAGTGTTTGTGTGTTTCCCTTCTTTGGGTTGTGTTGGTTAGGATTATCAGACATCTGTGTAATTGTGGGTGTTGTTAGCTTCCTTGGGTTGTGATTTTCCTTCTAGTACTTTCTGTAAGGCTGGGTTTTTGGATACAAATTATTTAAAACTGTTTTTGTCATGGAATATCTTGTTTTCTCCAGCGATGGTAAACCATGGCTTTTCATTGACTTCTAAGTGTTTCTTATAGCCCACACCTACTGGAAGGTTTGAAACTTCCAATTCTTCTCATTCTTGGCAGGGCTTGTTGTTGCTGCATGTGTGTGTTCTGATTGTACTCACGGTGTTTCACTATTAGTTTTGTTTTATTTCCTAATGACTACTTGTCTCAGTCAGTGTTCTGTTGCTATGAAGCGGCACCATTACCATGGCAATTCTTACAAAAGGAAACATTTAATTGGTTTAATTAATTAATTTAAACAGTTTCAGAGGCTTAGTCCATTATCCTCAGGCAGGGGGCATGGCAGCACACAGGCAGACATGGTCACTGAGAGTTCTACATCCAGATCTGCAAGCAACAGGTAGAGCCCCAATGCCCACCTTTAGACACACTACCTCCAACAGGGCCATTCCTACTCCAACACGGTCACACCTCCCTCCTAATTGCTCAGATAGTACTAGCCCTAATGATCGAGCATTCAAATATATAGAATCTATGAGAGTCATTTTTTATTATTAAGTTATTATTAAATTAATTGTTTTAAAGCAATCTTTTCTCGTTTTACATACCCAGTTACCACTCCCTCCCCTCCTCCCACTCTTCCCACCTTCCCTCTTCCCCATCCCCCATCTAGGCTGAGAAAGGTATCGCTCAAAAAAGAATGGGGTACAAAACACAAGCTCAAGCACTAGGGATAAATTCTAGTTCCACTGACACTGGCCCCACAGACTGCCCAAGCCACACAACTGTCACCCGTATTTAGAGAGCCTAATTTGGTCCTATGCAGGTTCCCCCACTGTCAGTCCAGAGTCAGTGAGCTCTCACTAGCTCAGGTTAGCTGTTTCTGTGGGTACTCCCAATTATAGTCATGACCCCTTTGCTCATATTTTTTGCCCCTCCTTCTCTTTGGTCTCTGGGAGTTCAGCCCAGTGCTTAGCTGTGGATCTCTATATCTGCTTCCATCAGTTGCTAGATGAAGGTTCTATGATGACAATTAAGGTAGTCATAAATCTGATTATAGGGGAAAACCACTTCAGGCACCCTCTCCACTATTGCTTAGGGTCATAGCTGAGGTCATTCTTGTAAATTCTTGAGAATTTCCCTAGTGCCAGGTTTCCTGCTAGCCCCTTAATGGCTCTCTCAATCAAGATATCTCTTTCTTTGTTCTCCCTCTCTGTCCTTCCCTCATCTTAACCATGCCATTCCCTCATATTCTCCTCTTCCCTTGCCTTCTCCCCTCCCCCTCTCCTTCTGGCCTCCTTTCTCTCCACTCAACTCCCAACTTTCTCAGGAGATCTTGTCTAATTTCCCTTCCCAGGGAGATCCATGTATGTCTATCTGAGGGTTTTCTTGTTATCTCGCTTCTCTGGAGTTGTGGACTGTAAGCTCTTTATCCTTTGCTTTGTGTCTAATATCCACTTATGAATGAGTGTATACCATGTTTGTCTTTCTGGGTTTGGGTTACCTCACTCAGGATTTTTTTTTCTATTTGCATAAAAGTTTCAAGATGTCATTGTTTTTCACTGCTAAGTAGTATTCCATTGTGTAAATGTACCGCATTTTTTAAATCCATTCTTTGGTTGAGAAGCACCTAGGTTGTTTCCAGGTTTTGACTATTACAAATAATGGTTTTATGAACACAGATGAGCAAATGTCCTTGTGGTATGAGTGAGAATCTTTTTGATATATGCCCAAGAGTGGTATTGCTGGGTATTGAGGTAGATTAATTCCCTGTTTTCTGAGAAACCGCCCTACTGATCTCCAAAGTGTCTGTACACCAGCAATAGAGGAGTGTTCCCTTTACCCCACATCCTGCCCAACATAAGTTATCATCAGTGTTTTTCATCTTGGTCATTCTTATATGTGTGAGGTGGAATCTCAGAGTTGTTTTGATTTGTATTTCTCTGATGACTAAGGATCTTGAACATTTCCTTAAGTGTCATTCAGCCATTTTAGATTCCTCTGTTGAGAGTTCTCTGTTTAGGTCTGTACTCCATTTTTATGGGATTATTTGTTCCTTTGATGACCAATATCTTGTGTTTTTTGTATATTTTGGAGATTAGACCTCTGTCTAGTGTGGGATTGGTGAACAGAGGTGCTTCTGTGTTCATCACTTTTCTTGTTGTTATGACCAAATGCCTAAAGAGAATGACTTATGGCGGGGAACTTACTTTGGATCCTGACTTGAGATTATTCTCCTTTGTGACAAGAATACACACATACCACTGGGAACAGTTTGTAGCTGTGGTAGTAGGGTTTGAGGCTATTGCCCTTATCTTCTGGATCAGAAGGCAGAGAGAGGACATGAAGTGGACGGTGCCATAAACTTGACACTCATCCCCCAGGAGTCACTTCTTGTAGCTCAGCCCCATCTAATAAAGGGTTCTACGACCTTTTCCAACAGCACCGTCAGCTGCAGACCAAGAGTTCAGACACATGAGTTGTCAGGAACTCATAGTGTGAAGAGTTGCTCTTTGAGCATGCTCAATTAGAGCAGAGAAGTTTGTGGTCAGTCCTGTGCTTGCACCCAGAATGTACAGCTCTCAGATCTACAGGCTGTCTAGATGTGTTGTGACATTCTTTGTCATGGAGTCACCAGAGGTCAGAGCTGAGGATCTGTTGGGGGATCTGGTCCCATCTGCTGAAAAACAAAGAGTTTGAATATCTCATCAGTGAAGGGCTGGAAGGTCCCAGAGCTGGGACCAGCATCTTGAATCCCAAGGCTGTCAATGTGGCACTGGGGGACAGCAGAGCAGGCTGTCCTGTGTGCTACATTTGTGTGGCATGGCCTCCATTTCTATGTGCTGAAAGATTTTAGAGTTTTCTTTCTTTCTTTTTCTTTTTTATATTTCGTGCATGGGTGCTCTGCATGCATGCCTGCATACCAAAGGAGAGCATTAGATCTCATTATAGATGGCTGTGAGCCACCATGTGGTTTCTGGGAAATGAAATCAGGATCTCTAAAAGAGCGCCCAATGTTCTTAATGTCTGAACCATCTTTCCAGCACTCTACAGTTTTCTAAACCATGGATCTCTTCATCTATCTCATCTACCCGGCACATCAACTCATGCTGACTGAGGATTCTGTCGCCATAGCCTTTAAGTCCCCAAAAAACCAAACAGAGGTCTGCATTAATTATAAACTGATTGACCTAGTAGTTCTGGCTTCTTAATAACTTTTATAACTTATATTAGCCCATTATTCTTGCCTATGTTAGACACATGGCTTCGTACCTTTATCAATGAGGCAGTCACATCTTGTGTCCTCTATTTCTGGATGATGACTGCAGGCTGAAATTTCCCTCTTCCCAAAATTCTCATTGCCCCGCCTCCACTTCCTGCCTGGTTGCCCCACCTATACTTCTTGCCTGGCTACTAGTCCATCAGTGTTTATTTAAGATACAAGTGACAGGGTACAGACCATTGTCCCACAGCAAACTCATATTTTTAAAAGTTCATTTTTAAGTTGTGTATATGTGTGGTTTGGTATAATGCGGTATGCATATATAATGTGTATTGTTTACACAGATTCTGATGTAGAAGGGTCATCTGTCTATGTGTTACTTTCATTGGTTAAAAAGAAACTGCCTTGGCCTTTGATAGGACAGCAGCTTAGATAGGCAGAGTAGACAGAACAGAATGCTGGGAGAAAGAAGCAGAGTCAGAGAGCTGCCCGCCATGAAGCTGCCAGGTCAGACATGCTGAATCTTTCCCGGGAAGCCATGACCTCATGGTGACATACAGATTACTAGAAATGGGTTGAATCAGTATGTGAGAGTTAGCTAATAAGAGGCTGGAGGTAATGGGCCAGGCAATGTTTGAATGAATACAGTTTCTGTGTAATTATTTCAGGTAAAGCTAGCTGGGTGGGTGGCAGGAAGCAGCCTGCTGCTCTTTTTACAAGATTCACGGTTCCATTTCCTTAAATATCTATTTTTTTCCTTTGTTTTGGTACACTTTGGGTAAAATTTAGAAGTTTTTAGTTGATGAATATGGGAATTTTGCCTGCATGTTTATCTGTGCACCACATGTCTGCAGTGCCCACAGAGTCCAGAAGAGGTCGTCAGATCCACTGGATCAGCAGATACAGGTGTTTGATTGCAGGAAGTGCTCCTAACCACTGAGCGGTCTCTCTAGCCCTGTGTTGGGAACTTTCAAATACTTCTCTGTTAGTTCCTTATAAAATATAAATTCTGGTCCTGGAGCTAGGTTTGGAACACCAGAACAGAGCCCTCTGATCTCCTTGTGTTTGCATATCTGTTACTCCACCCTCTCTCTTGGGAGACCTGGCAGTTTGTCTTTGTTCTTTCAGATGGCCTTCATGAAGATGAGGCTGGTTTATGCTTTCATTCTGATGATGGGCGCTCTTTGCTTGTACTTCAGCATGGAGCCTTTTGAGGAACTGACATTTGTTCTCAAGAAAGGTCACGGGAAGTTCCTCCAGCTTCCAGATATAGATTGCAAGCAGAAGCCCCCTTTCCTTGTGCTGCTGGTGACTTCATCCCACAAGCAACTGGCGGCTCGCATGGCCATCCGCAAGACATGGGGTCGAGAGGCAGAGGTGCAGGGGCAGCGTGTGAAGACCCTCTTCCTCCTGGGGGCCTCAGACAGCACCGATGAAATGAATGCCATAGCCCAGGAGGGCAAGCAGTACCGTGACATCATCCAGAAGGATTTCAAGGACGTCTATTTCAACTTGACCCTGAAGACCATGATGGGCATGGAATGGGTCCACCACTTTTGTCCTCAGGCAGCTTTTGTGATGAAGACAGACTCAGACATGTTTGTGAATGTTGGCTATTTGACTGAACTGCTGCTGAAGAAAAACAAAACCTCCAGGTTCTTCACAGGCCACATAAGGTATTATCACTCCCCCTTCAGGCATAACTTAAACAAGTGGTTTGTGAGTAAATTTGAATATCCCTGGGACAGGTACCCACCTTTTTGTTCTGGTACGGGTTATATCCTTTCTAGTGATGTGGCCAGCAAAGTATACAGTGTCTCAGAGAGTGTCCCATTCCTCAAGCTGGAGGATGTGTTTGTCGGGCTCTGCCTGGCCAAGCTGAAGATCCGGCCTGAGGAACTCCACACCAAACAGACCTTTTTCCCAGGTGGCTTACGCTTCTCTGTGTGCCGCTTTCGGAAAATTGTTACCTGCCACTATGTGTCACCAAAGGACTTACTCACTTACTGGCAGATACTGGAGAACTCTCAGGAACAGAATTGCTCTGCTGTCTGAGGGGATAACCTTTGGTGATAATTTGGGAAGATCTGGGCTGGCCTTGCTAAGAACCATCAGGGGTAGAGAAGTAGGAGGAAGGCAAAGAGTGTGTTCTCAATGCCCTGCATGTACTAGAGTGGATGTATACACACACAGGTCAAGACTTGTTCCCACTTGACACCCATAGCAATAGCAGATCTCATGTACCAGGCTTATGCACTATGTTCTCAATGTTTGAGACATGCCTTCATCTGCTCATTTCAGGGCTCAGTATACATATGAAGCCATGGATGTGATCATTCCCATTTTACAGGTTAGGAGCCAGTAGCCATGGTCACTTACTTGTTCAAAGACCCCCATTCTGCAGATGGAGCAGGAATGAGGAATTAAGTGCTATTAGAATTAAGTTGGTGGCCTCCAACTGAGTGTCTCATTCTTTGGGAGAGGATGGTAGTGGAAGAAGCTTAGTGTGGGGATGTCTTAAAGCTAACTAGCCTCCTTCAGTCTTTTTCCTGAGTCCCGTGCCCCTCAATTCCCAATCCTTCTACTTTTTAAATGCTGAGTCTGGGATGAACCAGCTTTCTCAGGCCTTTTCCCTCACTTGAATGATGTAGGGAGGCACTGAGTCTGTTAGCCACTTGGTACCCAATGCATCTTTAACATGAGACATGCACACCTGCAGACACTAGCTCACCTCTATGCTTGAAGGAAACTGGGTTGTATGACCATATAAATCAGACTGAGAAACCATAGCTGAGTCTTTTTGTATAGGCCAAATACACTGCTGAAATCCTAGCAAGGGTGACGTCTCCTCTGAGACTGTTGGGACACCTTGTCTCTGTTGTGGATGTCTTGATGGATTGATGGGGTGTCCAGTTGCAGCCCTGGAACACTTCAGATCTCAAACTCAAGGGCAGCCAGGCACAGGCATAGTCTGTATTGGTGTCCAGGAACTTTGCTGGGACCTGGGCTGGTCCAAGCTCCTGGGATGCAGAACATGGAGGTAGGCCCAGTCGAAGGGTTTTACCCAACATGTGATCCTTCCCCGGCCCTTCAAACTGAGTTTAGCACGTGCACACACAGAGATCCAGGTGTCTACATGAAGGATCCAGGCTAGTTTTATTTACTTGGGATGAGACATAGCAAATTCCTCTGATATTCTCTTTAGAGGGTGAGGTTGCCTTGATCTTTTTCTTTTGCACAATCAGTGGCAAGCTTCTCATGAGGTCAGCTGTACTATGATGGGGACATGAGCTGAAGGAGTGGCTCACAGTTGCACACCCAGAGGGTTTCTTGACCTCCAGCCTCCAGGCAGAAGTGAAACACACCCACCACCCTGCTGAGGGAGCATAGCTTTTACCATCACAGATGCACCAGTGGTCAAACCAGAGTGTCCATTGCTGGCCTCAGGGTGCTGTTTTGAAAGAACAAAGCCAGGCTTCAGATATCCTCTGGTTTCCCCACTGAGTCTGCAGCCACATGGCAGACTGAATAATTCACAAACTGTATTTAATAAGGCAGCTGTTGGGCACCACTTAAAAAATAGATGAGATGTTGCTTAGATCTTCTCCATCCCTCCATTTGGACACATTTGCTTTCTTGTACCAAATTTTGAAAATTAAGAAGTAATTTCCTGTGTTCATCACATTAGGACTGGCATCTTAGCCTTCTCTAGGCTGGGTCTCCTGGTAGACAGGATGCTTACTCCTCTCTCTGGCTGGGACTTTGGCTTGGTATAGTGGGGGAGGAGAGTTTTGTAATTATTCACAGGTCCTGAGGGGGACTTCCCAAAGGAGATGTCTGATACCAAACAAGCTGCTGCTTCTTGTGGGGGTACTAGCCTGGGAGTCCCTCCTGGCCTGGGTAAAAAGGATGAGTGGGTTAAGGTGTTTGCTGCCAAATTACCCTAGCAAATGCAATTCAGTCCTTGAGACCCACATGGTGAAAGAAGACAATTGAGCTTCACAAGCCCATGGTGGGTCTGCACAGATGTGTATGTACACACATAAATAAATAAAATGCAAACAAAAATAATCTTTGCAAAGGCTCCTGCAAACACTGACCTCTGAGACTCTGTTTATTTTTATTTCTCTGTGACTCTCCACAACGTAAACCCTGTGTGTGAACACTGGCAGAGATGAATTAGAAGTAAACTCTCAATCACACCTCTAGGATTTGTGCGGTGCTTTCATTTGGCTGAGAATTTGGTAGGAAAATTCATTGGGGGCTTGCCTCTTGTGTCTCCTGCCTTTTAACCTAAGTTTCAGGAATAGACAGATCCTCAAAATTGGCTTTAGATTGTTCCTGGAGGTGAAGATTGAATCTCCCCAGCTCAGAGTTGAGACGGGCTGTATGAGCCTGAGATGAACGAATTGTAATAAAGCATAATAACAATAGCAAAAGGTTTTAATCAATTAAAAGCAGCATTCTTTTAGTTTAGTCATTCAAGTCCAAGTAGAAAAATGAATTCTATGGCTAAATGTCATGTGTGTGTGTGGGGGATTCTTTTTGAGTTTTGGTGCTGGGGATGGGGCCCGTGACTGCACAAAGCTCTCCCCAGCCCCTGGTGATTGTTTTGCATCATGCATTCTACTACCTCCATGCAGGGGTCATGGGGATCAGCTCCTGATGCCTGCAGTTTCAATGCTGTGCTGGAAGGTTAGGACTGTTAACTTGACACAACTTACAATCGTGCTGCAGAGGGTTTTAACGAGAAATATCTCTTTATTATCCATTGATGTAGGAAGACTCAGCCCACTGTGGGTGACAGTGTTCCCTAGGCAGTGTGTCCTGAGCAATGTGAGAGGAGGAAGCCAGGTGAGGACAAGCAAAGATCCATGTGTTTTTCCTGTTTCTGTGAGACCATGGATGTGCCCCTCTGCTTTAAGTTCCTGCCTTGACTTCCCTGCAATAACAGACCACACCTGGGGGTGTGAGCCAACGGAAACCCTTATTCCTGGAGCTGCTTCTAGTCAGGGTGTCTATCACAGTAACAGAAATGAAGCTAAAACAGATGCTCAGGGCATCACCTACACAGAGTTTCAGACCCTTTTCACACCACCACGTCCCTGGATGTCATCGCCAGTGCTACCCAAACAGAGGTGAGTCCAGAGAGCTGTGAAACCCTTCTTACATTCTGCTTTTGGAAATATCAGAGGGGGATATCGGACTCAATTCACTTGGTCACATAAGACAAAAAATACCCTCTGTGACTGGAAGCCACTCATCTGAAACTGAGGACACTTTGTGGTCAAATCTGATTTCCTAAAGGATAAAATTTAAATGTCTGTGTCATTGAATGGTGTTTGAAATTGTCATTTGCCTGTACATTGAGAAGGTTCTACAGACTGATACTCTGTTTAGGAAGCAGGTATATGTATTTATGATTTGTTATAATGGTATTTATCTTTAATAAAAGTTAAATTATAAGCAACATAATGCATGTGGGTGGTTATAATATACAGCTCCTCTGAAGTTATCCATATCTGTATGGTCTAAATTTGGCTATCTTTTTTTTCATTGATGTTTGTGTCTGGATTTTTTTTTAAAAAACTTGGCTTTGGTTTTGTATGCTCAGAAAAGTATTGCTGAACAGTCTTGCTTATTTTTGAAATATAAGAGAACTTCTTGTTTCACTCATATTTTGGAGGCAAAGCCACAGAACTCAACAGAACTCTGAAAGGCTTTCAGGGCAGTGAGCCTTGGGTGAGAAGTGAGGCATTCTTGATAATTATAAATCCAGACAGTAGGCAATCATCCTTTGGAATTCTTTTCTCTCTGGAGTACTTTTCTATTGTTTAAGCCTAAGGAATAAACCTTATGAGTTGACTGGCTGTGCCTTCGGCATCTCTGATAATTATTTGTTTTTGAGGTGCAGCTTGGATCCTCGATCTCTCATGTGTCACTCAAATGGAAATAAAGTGGAGGAACCCGAAGTGTCTCCCTTAGACTCTAGCAGGTGCCACTAATCTCATGTGCAGCCCTGAAAATCTCTGCACCCATGCTCCTCACTACTCATCTCCTCTGCAGCCTCAGAAACCAAGTTGGAAGTGGCAGGGAGGGCCACAGGGCTGTGCACACAAGTGTAGGGTTTCCTGGAGATGGGCATCATCCAATGGTTCTACTCATTCTCGTCACCAACAGCAGTCTTGCTTCTCCATGACAATGTGGGGACTGTCCGTGGTCCCCTTGAAGGCTGGTCCTATCCCACCTGCATGCCTGCCTTGTTGCCTCTCCAGCTATGCTCACACTGTTATCTCCCATGTGCAGCTCTGGTCACCCCTCCCTTCTAGAACATTCCCTCAGCACACAGCATGCTCGCCCTCTCTACACAGACTGTCTTCCAGGCTGCCCCCTCTCCAGTTGTGCCTGTTCTCTCTTTTTCTCTTAGTGCAAAAACTTTTTCAAAGAACAGCCTTCCCCTTGTTGTCTGTCTCCAGCTTGCTCTCCTTTTCCCATTATATCCTGACCATCTTGGTGGAGGGACAGCACCCTCCCTCTGGTAACTGCTCCTACCACATGGGGAGGCAGAATTCAACCTGCTCCTTCTTCACCTCCCAAAGCATCTCATCCCTGCATTCCTCTGCTTTATGACAGACACAGTGGTCTGCATTGGATTATTAAGAAGTCAGAAGAAGTGCTAGGACCATGGTTCAGTGAACACAGTGCTTACTACATGATCAAGAAGACCTGATTTTGGATCCTGAGAACTTATCTAAAGCTGGGAACAGAAGCACACAATCCCAGCCTCCCTACTGTGAGATGGGAGGTGGAGACTTCCTGGACATTTGCAGGACAGGGAGCATGGTATATGAAGTGTAAACTGACACAAAGAAGGTGGAATGCAAGAATATTGGTACCACAGGTATACTGTGACACGTGGAAACACACACACACACACACACACACACACACACACACACACACACACA